CCAGAAACTATCAAACTCTTAGAGGAAAACATAGGCAGAACACTCTATGACATAAATCACAGCAAGATCCTTCTTGACCCATCTCCTAGAGTAATGGAGATAAAAACAAAAATAAACAAATGGGACCTAATGAAACTTCAAAGCTTTTGCACAGCAAAGGAAACCATAAACAAGACCAAAAGACAGCCCTCAGAATGGGAGAAAATATTTGCAAATGAATCAACTGACAAAGGATTAATCTCTAAAATTTACAGGCAGCTCATGCAGCTCAATAACAAAAAAATAAACAACCCAATCCAAAAATGGGCAGAAGACCTAAATAGACATTTCTCCAAAGAAGATATACAGACTGCCAACAAACACATGAAAGAATGCTCAACATCATTAATCATTAGAGAAATGCAAATCAAAACTACAATGAGATATCATCTCACACCAGTCAGAATGGCCATCATCAAAAAATCTAGAAACAATAAATGCTGGAGAGGGTGTGGAGAAAAGGGAACACTCTTGCACTGCTGGTGGGAATGTGAATTGGTTCAGCCACTATGGAGAACAGTATGGAGGTTCCTTAAAAAACTACAAATAGAACTACCATATGACCCAGCAATCCCACTACTAGGTATATACCCTGAGGAAACCAGAATTCAGAAAGAGTCATGTACCAAAATGTTCATTGCAGCTCTATTTACAATAGCCCGGAGATGGAAACAACCTAAGTGCCCGTCGTCGGATGAATGGATAAAGAAGATGTGGCACATATATACAATGGAATATTACTCAGCCATAAAAAGAAACGAAATTGAGCTATTTGTAATGAGGTGGATAGATCTAGAGTCTGTCATACAGAGTGAAGTAAGTCAGAAAGAGAAGGACAAATACCGTATGCTAACACATATATATGGAATTTAAGAAAAAAAAATGTTATGAAGAACCTAGGGGTAAAACAGGAATAAAGACAGAGACCTACTGGAGAACAGACTTGAGGATATGGGGAGGGGGAAGGGTGAGGTGTGTTAGGGCGAGAGAGAGACATGGACATATATATACTAACAAACGTAAGGTAGATAGCCAGTGGGAAGCAGCCGCATGGCACAGGGAAACCGGCTCGGTTCTTTGTGGCTGTCTGGAGGGGTGGGATAGGGAGGGTGGGAGGGAGGGAGACAAAGAGGGAAGAGATATGGGAACATATATATATGTATAACTGACTCACTCTGTTATAAAGCAGAAACTAACACACCATTGTAAAGCAATTATACCCCAATAAAGATGTTTGTACATGTATAATTGATTCACTTTGTTATAAAGCAGGAACTGACACACCATTGTAAAGAAATTATACCCCAATAAAGATGTTAAAAAAATAATAAATTAAAAAAATAAAGGAAAAAAAATACTATCAGCTATTAACAAAAAAAAAAAAGAGTCATGTACCAAAATGTTCATTGCAGCTCTATTTACAATAGCCCAGAGATGGAAACAACCTAAGTGTCCATCATTGGAAGAATGGATAAAGATGTGGCACATATATACAATGGAATATTAGTCATAAAAAGAAATGAAATTGAGTTATTTGTAGTGAGGTGGATGGACTTAGAGTCTGTCATACAGAGTGAAGTAAGTCAGAAAGAGAAAGACAAATACCGTATGCTAACACATATATATGGAATTTAAGAAAAGAAAGAAAAAAATGTCATGAAGAACCTGGGGGTAGGATGGGAATGGAGACGCAGACCTGCTGGGGAATGGACTTGGGGATATGGGGAGGGGGAGGGGTAAGCTGAGACAGGGCGGGAGGGTGGCGTGGACATATATATACTACCAAGCGTGGAATGGATAGCTAGTGGGAAGCAGCCGCATAGCACAGGGAGATCAGCTCGGTGCTTTGTGACCACCTACAGGGGTGGGATGGGGGGGGGTTGGGAGGGAGACGCAAGAGGGAAGAGATATGGGAACATATGTATATGTATAACTGATTCACTTTGTTGTGAAGCAGAAACTGGCACACCATTGTAAAGCAATTATACTCCAATAAAGATGTAAAAAAAAAAAAAGAATTATAGATGAATACCATGCACAGTTGTAAATGAATACATTTTATGGCTCAGGAAAAGATAATTTAAAGCTAAAGGGCAAAATGTACAATTGATATAACAAAAGGAAACTAAACAGATTAATACATAAGGCAGAAAAGTAAAAAGTTATTAGCAAACTACTCAAATTAAGGGATCAGGCCATTTTCTTTAGGTTTACTGGGTAAACAATTTCTGTAGAATTAAAGCTATTTTGGAGAAGGGCGGGGGAATGACACCATTTGAGGGTCACACTGGTTTAACCCTCATCCTGACTTGCAACAAAATGGCCACATTAAATACATTGATATTAGTTAACCACCCTGAAGTTCAGTTTTCTGGGTTTTCTGTAAGTGGGGTTAATAATATTTGCCTCACAGGTTGTAAGGTTGAAATGGGGCAGCTAAGAGATCCCCGGAGATCACCCAGCACAGTGCTGATCCACAGGGGCTCAAATGTCAGCTCCCTGCCTACACTAGATCATGGCCCAGGGAAGAGAAAAATTTTAAAAGAAAGCTATCAGGGCTTCCCTGGTGGCGCAGTGGTTGAGAGTCCGCCTGCCGATGCAGGGGACACGGGTTCGCGCCCCGGTCCAGGAAGATCCCACGTGCCGCGGAACGGCTGGGCCCGTGAGCCATGGCCGCTGAGCCTGCGCGTCCGGAGCCTGTGCTCCGCAACGGGAGAGGCTACAAGAGTGAGAGGCCCGCATACCGCAAAAAAAATAAATAAATAAAAGAAAGCTATCAGAAGGACTTTTTCTTACTATTATTAAAATTAAGTGTCTTTCTAAACCAAGAGTGATTGATGCAACAATGGAAAAGTCCTAGATCCGATCCTTTGAAAAATCAGAGATAAACCTATTATTATTGTTCTACATGGTTTTTGAAGTCCTAGCCAGTCATTAAGAAGTGAAACAGAAGTAAGAAAAACCTATACTAAAAATGATTCAATGAACACTTTAAGAATAAGAATTGGAGAGTGACAAGGGGAATAAATATTTGGAAATGACTACCACTTCTTTACAGCAGTAATTTCCAGTTGAAAAACAAGGAGGTAGTTCTATTAAAAAACAGAACTATAATTTTAATAGGAAATTGAAGGAACAACTATAAAACTTTACTGGGGGAATTCCCTGGCAATCCAGTGGTTGGGACTCTGTGCTTCCACTGTTGTGGGCCTGGGTTCGATCCCTGGTTGGGGAACTAAGGTTGGGAAACTAAGATCCCACAAGCCACGTGGTGCAGCCAAAAAACAAAACAAAACAAAACAAAAACACCACCAAACAAACAACAACAATAGCAACACAAAAACCCAAAAGTTTATTGGGAAATATAAGATTTCTTTCCACGTCTGAATGGCTGACCACTAATCATCCTTCGTGAATCAGCTCACAGCTTAGGGTGTCCAGGAAACAAGAGGTGCTGGAACAGAGGCTCGTGAAAGGCATCTGGGAAGGACTGAACCATGACCTCATGGTTTTTCATGTCATTACTCATATCTGACTATAAAATCCCTTCTAGGCATAAAAGTCCTCTTCATCTTCACAATCCCCCCTCAGAAGTGCAATAAAGAATTAGTGTCAATGATGAATAACGGAAGAATAAATGATGTTATTAGGCCAGAGTACTGGGACAGTGGATTAATTTCTTTTAATTCCCATCGCTTTTCTTTTTTTGTTATAACACTGCTTGTATAATACTGAGTGAAATATTAAAAATGCCTTAGTTTGGGTGTAATAGAACACACAAATTCAGAATGCTATTGGGGTAAGTTAAAAGATTTTTTTGATAATTGAGTTTTGGAGTTAAGACATATAAATTCCATAACAGATTAGATCCTAGACATTCCAGTAAACAGTTACTTACTGTAGGATATAAAGTCCTGCCTACTTCATTGGGCTCCTGTGAAAAATCAGTAACAAAAGGGTTTTTAAAATATTTTACAGGGCTTCCCTGGTGGCGCAGTGGTTGAGAGTCCACCTGCCGATGCAGGGGACACGGGTTCATGCCCCGGTCTGGGAAGATCCCACATGCCGCGGAGCGGCTGGGTCCGTGAGCCATGGCCACTGAGCCTGCGCGTCCGGAGCCTGTGCTCCGCAACGGGAGAGGTCACAACAGTGAGAGGCCCGCGTACCACCAAAAAAAAAAAAAAAAAATTTTACAATTGGCCAAATGCTGGCAGAAAGTGAAATGTAATGTCTTGAATATGCCAATAGCTCTCTAAAATATTGGGGGGTTTAGGGAAAGGCACCCCTGCTCCTGTTCTTAAGCTACCAGATCCAATGGGTTCCTCAAAACAAGTAACAGCCACTAAACTGTCGTGTTCTCTGTATCCCCAAGCAACAAGTCTTTGCCACTTACTAGGTGCCAAGCACTGTGCTGGGCATGAGCAATATAGCAAAACAGGCAAAAAATCTGGCTGTGCTCGTATGGTGCTTACAGCCCAGTGCAGCACCAGCAGAAGGTGGAGAATAATTAAATGCTGAATGTAGGTACACGTGGATGAACAAATATGAAGGTGGTTGAAGAAATGTGCAATGTTTAGCTAGAAGAGCTGCCTCAGTAGGCACATGGTGACTGGCCCTGAGGACCAGAAGCTGCTCAGCTGTGTGTAACCCATGCTCTTCCTCCTCACTGGAGAAGTGTGAGCAGAGACTGCATGGTCAGATGCTGAAGGGAACAACAGGACACACAAGCACAGTGGGGAGCTGTCCATCTATGCCAAGTAGAGAGAGAAGAAAAATCATGGGAAGGAGGATCCAGGGAGGCACAAACTGCCACAAGAAAGGAGTGCCACATGCACGTGGGGACAAATATGGCAACAAGGCATTGAGGTGAACATGAAGGGAAAAGATGCTCATTTCTCAGTCCACAGGCCTGGCTCACGTGCTATGTTCCTCCCAATGCCTCCCACACGCAGCATGCTTACCAAGACAGAAGCCTCCCAAGGAGTCCTCCGGCATCGATTCTTCCCCCTTTCCCAGCTGGGAAAACGTATCTGGCTTGGGTCCTAAGAGTCCTGTTTTTGAGGGGGAAAAAAAAAAGGGCCATATCTGTTCATACCAGAGATAAAATCATTGCAAGGATGAGATCTGGTCCATGGAACTTCCTGGAAAAGGTGACCTGATAGGGGCCCAGGGTAGACAACAGTTCCCAGAAGGAGGAAAAGATGGTTTGGGCCTGACAGAGAATCTGTTCCCGTCTTTCTCTCTGTTGGAAGGGAGGGAGGATTTGACCTCTAGTCACCTTTGAGACATCTGCACTTAGACTCCAAAGGGCCCTGTGCCCAGGACACAAAGGATAGGCACTGTGATAACATCCTCAGAACAGCTCACTCCCAACCCAAACTTCTGTATGGAACCAGTTTACAGGTCCCAAAGAAATCTCCAGATATGAAGATGAGCCTTCAGAGGCTCCCACTTACCCAGGGATACCAGGTTGCTGTAGTTCTCCAGCATTACATCCCTGTACAGGGCTCTTTGAGCAGGGCTCAGCTGCGCCCATTCATCCTGGGTGAAAAGCACGGCCACATCCTTGAAGGTCACTGATTCCTGTAAGGGCAAACCCATCCCCGTTGACTGGTGGCTACTCCCTCACATGACTCTCTGGGAAATGCTGTGACAATCTGCAGGGCTGTTAGCACAGAAGGGGGATGGTGTTCTGTGACAAGGGAAGCACTTCCTCAGGGTCTCCTAGGGGTCAGGCTTTTATCAGACTTCGTTCCCCTGAAGAAAAATACCTTGTGGAGAAGACAGGCCTCCTCAGCCAGCACTGGGACTTCACACTGGCTGTCCATCTTGCCCAAAACATTTTCTCCCATCTCCGTCAATCTGCACAGCCCTGCCTGTACCCCCACCCCTATGACCAATCCTACCCAGGTCTTGGCTTCAGCATTACCTCTTCAGCACCCCTCCTCAGCTGCTCCCTCCCATATCACCCGTGCAGGGCCATCCAAGCACTGTCCCACTTTACTGAGTTTTGGTTTACTTTTGGTTTCCCCCACGAGACTGTTAACTCCAAGAAGCTATGGACCATTTCCACATCTCCCTTGTCTTCCCATATCATGTCTTCTAGAACATGGCCCATGTACCCAGCACCTGTTACAAATGTGTTACTCAGCAACTCCTGCTTTTCTTCAGCTGAACCCAACACACATACACGGTTCCCATGGAAACAGTCCTTCTGGACAATGTGACCTTGTTCCCTCTGATCACAACTAGTACCTTCTGTGGAAACTCTTGGCTGAGAGGACAAGAGAGCTGGTGTGAACTGAGAAAGAAGAGCTAAGTAGAAGCCCAGAGAAGAAAGGCAAGGGTCCAAGAGAAAGGACTTTTAGATTATTCTAGACCCCACTTGCCTAGCTGAAGTACAGGTGCATTTTGGCCTTTTGGGCAATATCCCAATATCCTTCCAATAAAGGCCTGCTTTTTCTTAAGGTAGTCTGAGTTAGGTTTCTGTTACCTGCACCTAGAGCCTTGCACAAAGTAGGCTGAACCAAGGAACATTTGTGGGACTGAACCCATGAACCAGTCTGTCAGGGACAGACCTTCACCTTTCTATCATGGGCATAGATCTAATACCTGGCACATTTTACATCCCTAATACAGGTCTGCTGAATGGCAATCAAAATTATGGCAGCCTGTAAACACAAGATAATTGTGTGACACCAACAATGAATTTGAGGAAAAGGCTAGGGAAGAGAAATATCACAGTGGACTGGCACCGTGAAGACAGGTTTCAAAACAAAAGTGGTGCCTGAGTTGGGTTCTAAAGGACAAGCTAGAAACCAAGGAGAAGGGTGAGCAACCAGTGAGCTGGGACTGGGTTGACACGGCACTTTCAATCGGCTGCTCAGCCCTTCCAGTGATTTCTGCCACAGATTCCTGCCCTGGACAGGTTTAAGTGTGAATGAATTAGAACAAATTTACCAAATTCATCAGAATTTGTACACTCAAATGAATGTTGTCTCCTTCAAAGTGGAGTCCATACCCTTATTCTAACGAAGTTAGCACTGCTCAAAGCTTTTCAGTAATTTATTGAAATTGAAAACATACCACTTGAATGATTTCATTTGTACCCAATATTCCTCTGAAGTAAAAAGCCAAATATAATTTTTTTAAAAAGCCCAGTAAATCCCACCTTTCTAAGAAAGCATTCCAATTTCTCTCTTCTATCACTTCTATGTTAGGTACTGCCTTTACCACTTTAGACCCTTATTTTACTTGCTAGTGGAAAGAGT